CTCCTCTAAGTCCATCTCTCCCTCACCCTCTCGCTACTTGACTTCTCGGTATCTGTAGACTACGAGAGAGAGAGAGAGAGAGAGAGAGAGAGAGAGAGAGAGAGAGAGAGAGAGAGAGAGAGAGAGAGAGAGAGATTTGAGACTTTGAGATTTGGCGATATTTGGATTCCGACTCAACATTGGGATTGAGACATTTGACGAGGGATTATTTGGGACCTATGCCGAAGACTTGGTGTTGACGACATTCCCATCTTCCCCCTCTTCTTCGTCGGATCCCCCTTCGCCTCACCCTTCGATCGGAACGGAGTACTAGTCCCATGCACGGTGCCTCCACCTCACCCTTCGATCAGCTGTCACGCGGTGTCCACTGCAAGCATTCGAGCTTCCATCACCAGGGACGACATCAAGGAGATGGGGTGTGTTTTCTCCACGCCCTCCCTCCCCATGACATCCCATCGACGTACCCATCGACTGACCCACGCATCACCGAGCTTCTCGACTCCTACTGCGACGTGTTCGAAGCCCCGCACGGAGTAGTACCGGATCGGCCCATCCACCACGAGATCATCCTCGAGGCCGGGACGTACCTCCGTGTGGTTGCATCTACCGCATGAGCGAGGAAGAGTTAAGTGTTCTACAGGCACAACTCGACGACCTTCTTGAGAAAAGTTGAATTCGACCTACCTCTTCGCCTTACGGTGTTGGGGCAAATACCCTGACAAGGGTATTTGCCGAGGGTTTTTAACGTCGGACGCTATCCGACTCTTTTGTTGAATTGATGGGCTTGATGAGACTGACGTTTGCCAAAAAGTTTATTCAGACCTGACCTATGACTGGAAGATTGAAAGTTTTTGAACTTTAGTCCAGACGCCTGCGGCGTCCAAGAGTAATGGCAGTAAGCGGCAGTGCTTCGCTTTTATGTGCGGACATTGGAACGCTAAAGCCAAACCTATTCTACCTAAAATATTGTCGCGCGGCTGCTAAGCCACGCGATTCAGGGCCTAAGTAGGCTAAAAGAGGGATGCATCCGGTATAGGGCCGCGACGCAAGGGGAATAGGAATAAGGAGTTTATTTTTTTTGGGCCGCGGAGGTTGACATCGAGCCAGGGGGTTGATAGGCCAATGCCGAGATCGCTAGGCCAACCGATGGGCAGGCAGGGCCTGCAGGGCCACAGGCAGGCAGGCGGGCCTGCAAGGCCACAGACAGTATGGGCCTGCAAGGCCACGGGCAGGAGAAACCGTGAGGGCAAGCTCTTCTTATAGAAGAGCTGCTCCTATCACTCTCGTGATAGGAGCCAGCCCAATAGGATACAGCACCGGACTTTCCCCCAGCAGACACCGGGATCGAGCCCAACCGCACGCATCGTACTCGGCCAGCTCCTTTTGGAGCTGGCCGCCAGGTATGTGGCGCAGACGATCCCGACCGTGCGATCGTGAGATCACACGACCGAGATCAGCTGCGCGGATCGAGAAAAGGTCCCTGCGCAAGGATGACACGCATAAATCGANTCTCTCTCTCTCTCTCTCTCTCTCTCTCTCTCTCTCTCTCTCTCTCTCTCTCTCTCTCTCTCTCTCTCTCTCTCTCTCTCTCTCTCTCTCTTGCGGATGTCTGAGGATGATGTGTACTGGTGAGTGCATGGTTGGGTATCCAGGGTGTCTGGGGATGATGTGCACCTGTTGAGGGCATGAGGTTGTGTTCAATTGTTGCTATGCATGCCACCTAGTCCCTGTGCCTTGGCCAAATTGCACTGATGCACACGCAGCCACCACCGTCTCCCTGGTCTGGCCAGTCTATTTCCTCAGCACAGTTTTGCAGCCGGTATAATCATTCCTGGACCGCAAGATGGAGCAATCGATGCTGATCAGGGGTCCTTTGGCCAAACGGAAGGACGCGTATGTGTGTGCTTATCTTGACGTATTCTCATGACTAGCCAGTGAAGTAGGAACCGGACTGGCGCTCCCCAGAATGGATATGGATCAAGGAGCATTAGGACCTTTTAAAAAAAGAAAGAAACAAAGAAACAAAGAAACAAAGAAAGAAAGAAAGAAAGAAAGAAAGATAACTGTGAGCTTCCATTTGGTGCATCAGGTCACAGTCCTGTCTAGAATCAACCGTATCGTGACTACACTGTCAGAGCTTCTTCCCGAGGTCCTCGAGGTCTCGGGAGGTGCATGGGGTTAACCAATGAGCTGAGTTCAGTTGGTACATCCTGCATGAACTGTTGATATACAGACCCACGTTCGAATGCAGATCCAATTAGATGAACAGAATAAAACAATTAAGAATTGCCTGGGGGCGGTCAGTGCAATGATGATATCTCAAGGCCATCTTCTTTTTTGGGTGGAAGAAAAAAGAACAAGATCATGGAACTCACTAGTACTTAACTGTTCTGTGCATTTCATCCTCCTCCTGTGTATGGAGGTTATGGAATGCAGACGTTACGGAATCCAAGCCGCCCGTTTGCTCGGACTGATTTCACATTGTTTGGTGTGCTATGCTTGTGATTCTTTTCTCTTTCAGCAGCATGGAGTCTATAGTCTGCTTGTCATCAAGAGACCAGCCGCTTTGCCTTCTTAGGCTGTAGAAACGCGAAGACCCTTGCAAGAGTACACTGACAGCGAGGAGAACAGTAGGAGGAGAGGAGGGAAGAGCGACCGGAGGAGGTCGCAGGTTGCTTTTGATGAGAATTGGTCCGTGCTGCGCGTGGCTGCTGCTTGTGCTTTTGCTGTGCCTGTTCGAATCTCTCTCCAACTGGGGGGGGGGAGACATCTCCCAGCCATCTTCCCAGCTTTTCGCCGGATACATCTGCACCGCGATCGATGCTTACTCCGTTCCATCCTCAGAGCGAAGAATGTCTGCAAAACTTGGAGCGTAGTTGTGTGATCGAAGGAGAGACGGGTTGGACGAGCCGCAGAGGGAGCGGTGAAGAATTGTCAAAATCCTTCTTCAACCTGTTTGTGTGGTGTGAAATCTGTCTCTTATACACATCTAGATGTGTATAAGAGACAGGTGTTGGTCCTTGCTTTTGTCGCTTTTCCTGCAGTTTTAATGTGCTTGGCAGCTTGTGTGGTCTTTCCTGGATTGGCCCCAATTCAAACCAGCCTTCCATGCACATGTACAAGCTGACTGGCTGACTGATAATGCACACCATGCAATTTTTGTGTTTACCTGTTGGGTGTGCTCGTTCACGTGCTGGTGTATTTTGTGGGTTTGAGCCTTTGAGGGTTCAGGAGTAGGGTGCTGAGCTGTCCTGTTGCACTGACAGAGAAGTGGATGACGTCGTCTGGTGCGTACTGGGAATGAATGTTGTAGGCTGGGCTTTGAGATTAAAGCTAGAGAACTCTCTTTTTTACATAAGAAATTGGTGTTGGGGGTTCAAACTTCTTTTTTGAAACAAGTAGCTGACTGTCCTAAGTGTCCTTCTTTGTCTGTGCTGTTTTTTTTGTTTCCATTGGCCGTATTTTTTTGCCGTGAAAAAAAAAAAACAGATAAAACTTCCGTTTGAAAAGTTGATCCATGCGCTCCGGAACTTCCCTGAAGACGCTTTAGACCCCGATGTCTTGCTTCCGATGGCGTATAACATTAAGGTAAGAGGGGTCGACTTTGTAATTTCGTTCGAAATATTCGTCCATGCAATTTAACTGAGGCTCTCTTTTTTTTTTTTTTTTTTTTTCCTTAAAAGGGGCGACAGCCTTGAGACATCATCGTGAAACTCACCGGTCCCAGGTAATTCAGGATATTTGTTTTCATCTGGTTCCATGAACTCCCATCTGGATTTTGAAATTTCGTAGAGTTAAATAAATGAAATGAATGGAGTCATGCTGGCAACCCCCTTCTATCTACACAGTCGATGAGGACCTACTTGTTACGACCCATAGCACTTCTCTGTGAGCTAGGATTCCTAGGAATGACCACTACCGTCTGCACCGGACTACCGCACCAGGTCAATACAGCTGTGTATTCGGGATAACTTTCAGTTCAGGTGCAGCTATAATGACCGGGCGCTATTTATTCGGATGAAGACCACAGTTCATGTGATCATCAGTAGCCACCTTTGTACCGTTTACTAGGGCTTCTAGATCTGATGTCGCCTACGCTACGCTATGGGCCTCGCTGCACTACTCTCGGCATGCACAAACGACAAAAATCATGGGGGTGTATCTTTCCATAATCTAACGGAAGATTCACTCTCGTTTTGCACATTTCGAAAGTAGTGCAGCGAGGTCCTATATGAATTGATTTTGACTCTAGGCTACAGGTTGTCCGATGGCAGGACGTCCTGGCCGGACAGTCAGGGGGGGTCCCGGACGTGCAGACGTCCGGGTCCGGACAAGTCCATTTTCAGTTTTTTTTTTATGAATTTCGTTTTAGATTTCTTCTAAGATTTGTTCCTTTTTAGATTTATTTAGGTTTTTTTTTTTTTTTCTGGTGCCTCGTGAATTGAACGAGCACCTATTCGTTCATCGGGACATCCGTGAAAATTGGAACGGTGCAGAGAAGATTGGCATGGCCTTTGTGCAAGAAACGGGCGCCCGTTCGTTTCGAATGAACGGGGCAGAGAGAAAAAAAAAGAAAAAAAGAAAAAAAAGGAAGAATGGAACCGCCAGATGGCGGATGTCGAAGTGGCAGGGCATCTGCCCTGATGAGACAGGTGCTGCCCGTTTTCATAGGGCAGCAGGGCTGTAGTCCCACTAGCAAAGAGCATAGGATTGAATGCCTGAATCTGGACGTGCTCGAGGGCAGGAGCAGGAAATCGAGATAGAACTGGTTTCTGTATCTCTGCAAAAACATAGCCAGATTCAGGATTTTTATCCTATCCCCTTTGCTAGTGTGACCACGGCCCAGGTAAGTAGTTGTTTTTTCTTTTTAGTTTTTAGATCTGTTTCCTTAGATGTTTTTCTTGTTTTTTTAGATTCTTTTTGAATTTTTCTTAGATTCTTTCTAGATTTAGATTCCCACCCCCCTCCTCCGTTCGTTTCATTATTTAGGTGCCCGTTCGTTTTGACGAACGGGCTGTGGTGGGGGATGACGGTGCCAGACTGTTTCGTCGGAATTTCATCGACTCATCAGGAGGCTGAACCTCAACAGTCCGGGTAGAGAGATGAATCTACTGCTAGAACATGGACTTGTTCACTACTAACGAGAGAGAGAGAGAGAGAGAGAGAGAGAGAGAGAGAGAGAGAGAAGGGTCATGGGCCGTGCGCCCGTATCGGGCGTAGGCTGGGGAAAACAAACCCCTGCTAAGTTTGACTCTAGTTCGACTCTGTGAAATGACTCTGGGGAAAGGGAGGCTGCTCGTTTGAAAAATGAGCTGCCCCTGCACTGAAGAGAGAGGGGGAAGAAAAGTAAAAAAAAAAAAAAAAAGGGTAACGGCCACGTACGTGGCCGCGGCCGTGGAACAGGTGCAGCCCCCAGAAGCTTCTACGGGCTGATGGGACTACGCCTGTTCAGTTGAACAGGCAGCAGTAAAATGGCTGGGTACAGCCATTTCCAGGAGCACCTGGCCTGGAAAGATGGCCCGGTACTTCTGGGGATTGAAGACCTTGGTTCTCCTGAGGGAAAACCAAGGCACAGGGCTCCTGGCCATTGATTTAGATCAAGGGCCAGGAGCACCGACGAATTTCGCCTGGCTGTGGGCAAGGCAGCTGCCCACAACCATCAGCTGGCTATAAAAGTCAGCACTCCACCCAGCAGCATCACACTTGTGGCAGTGCTGTTGGGGCATTCACTCGAGTGAATGCTGGTTGGCTGTTGCATGCTGCTGCAGAGGGGCGGTGCTGCCGGTGGAGGTGCTGCTGATGGAGTGGAGGTCTGCAAGGAGAGTTGGAGGAGGAGAAGGGAGGCAGCCATAGCTGAGGGCTGGGAGCTTTTTGCCCCACCGTTGCGAGTGTGCTGTGTATGTGGGCTGGTGCTGCGGTGGGAAGGCTGCGTCAGGGGCCGGACGGTGCGGCAAGCGGCACCTATTTTAGTGGGGTTATGCTGCCGGACTGCCGCCTCGGCGTCAAGACCTTCCAAAAGGGAGGTGCTGCCGGATTTTTGCGGCGGCGGCGTTTGGGTTTACGGCAGTGGTGTGGAAGCGCTGCTGGATTTTTGCGGCGGCGGCGTTGGGTTTTWCGGCAGTGGTGCAGAAGCGCTGTCGGATTTTTGCGGCGGCAGTATTTTTGCATTGACTACATAAAGCGTGGTTGGGCATTGGTGCAGGGAAGGTACCGCTGAAGTGGTAGTGCGTTTTGAAGTGGCGTAAGCGTGGCGCCGAAGTGACCGGCGAGTAACGGTGGCATTGAGACATTGTCGATTTGTTGGGGGTGAATGTGTGTTTGGAGAGAAATGTGGCAGACGGTCGTCACAAGGGAGTGGTGTGGATCACTTTGCTGACGACTTGTTGTGACGACCTTCTCATCTAAGGGCGCGATTCTAAACGGTCTTCTTGAATGGGCCATTTTTACAACTTCACTCAAGGTCGGTCGGTCGGTCAGTTTATTGACTCAGATTTCCCTTCACACCTGTGTGAACCCACACTTTGATTGACCCTGTTCATTGAATGTTCATTGGAAAGGTAAAGGAAAGTGTGTGAGTCATGCATGCGAATGAAGAAGTCTGACTTTAGTATGGGAATGCACTGGTTTTCTCTTGAACTTGTTTTTCTTTGCGTGTTGTGCAGGTAGGTAGAAGGATGTTTGCAAAGGAGATTGATTATGCCTGTTGGAGAAAAGAGAAGAGGATTGTCCTTTCTTTACTTCTCACCCGCCTACGTGCCAAAAATGATTCGATGTTTTGAAAAACTTTGTGTGCACCACTGAATGAATTCAATTGAAATAAAGCAGATAAGGTTAAACGGATTTAGATTTCTCCCCATGATTGACTTTTTCTATCCCGAATGACCGTATCTACCTATGCCTGTCCAAATGATTCTCGTTCTTTATTCCCCTAGTATTTCTTTTTGTCCCAGTTACCCAGGACTTAGGAGGTGAAGAATATATGAAAGCTAGTTGTTGTGGATGCATCTTCTATCTCTAGGAAGCATCTGGGACGGGGGTTCGTTGCTTTAGGATCCGACCTTGTTATCGACCCAGAGTGGATCGTTCTACGGGGGGGTACTTGCCGATTCGGTGGAGACGGCCCGACTTCTAAGATCCGAGTCTAGTGCTCGGACGAGGAGGAGAAGTGCCCCAGACCACTTCCTAGAGGGAGAGGCATGTAACACTTCAAGCAATGCCCCTGATCAAGAGTCATTCGCAAAGTAGCCTGTCATCCGAAAAGATTGGAAACGGATGAAGACATATATGTGTGTCTAATCTTAAGTCGGCGGTAGGTGGAATGAATAACGTTGGCAGCGCGTCTCATCAAGTCAAAACTAAGGCAGATGGACTACCTTGTCGGCTGCATCTTTATTATTGTCGATAGTCAACTTCTTGTTGGCGGTTGTTATTTGTTTCGTGGTGTTCGACCTGAGGCGGTCGGATTGTTTTTGATCTTGTGTTATTGGATGTATCAAATGAAGATTTGGATTCTCTCAGTTATCATTTCGGATTGGATACGTTCTATCGACTACAGTCGATTTCTTTTGATGTAAGTATGTGTGGATGTTTTAACTTTCGCTCGACTATGTGTAAAAGGGACTATGATAATGTTGAGTTTCACGCTTGGTTGAGACCGTCCTAGTCGACCGGCGTCCGCTTCGTACGTAGGAGATCAGCGCCCTAGGAACCGATGACGTTCGGGTTCACTCGGCGTTGACCAAGCGTATCTATACTACAACGAACGAGCAAACGCCCTCGGTTGGCCTACCTCTGCAGTTGCATTTAAAAGCTTTTGCACGTGGGTCAGTAGCTCGGTAGGGATACGCCCCTAAGGGTGGTGACAACCCCTTAGGGAGGGTAAGCTTATGCCCCGCGGGAACCTATCCTGTCGTAGGGGACCGCGGGATGTACAGCTGGCGCACCGGACTAGAGCGGCGAAGGGACGACGCAACCGCGGTCGTCTCGACGGCTAGCGGGATTAGTTAGGTGTCGTTCCCGAGTTGTCTCTGTTTTTGTTTTGTTTCTCCTGCGTGACATGGCCGGAAGGCTCTCTTTCGCAAAGGCGAGAGCCGATGCGCTCGACAACGGTGCTCCCGTTCTCTTCGTCTGGAAGAAGAACAAGGACTTGCGGTTGTGCATCGAATATCGCAAACTGAACACGCAAACCGTCAAGAACGTTGGCCCTCTTCCGCGCATTGACGACCTTCTCAAACGGTTGGGTGGCGCCAAGTTCTTCTCCAAGCTTGAACTCAAATCGGGATATCACCAACTCGAGATCTGGCAGGAGGACCGCTATAAGACCGCGTTTAAGACGCGACATGGGCATTTCCAATGGCTGGTTATGCCTTTTGGCCTTACGAATACCTCGGCCACGTTCCAAGCGGCTATGACAACGGAGTTCCGACACATGCTGGATAGATTTGTACTCATCTACCTCGACGATATCTTGGTGTACGGCCGGAGTTTGGACGAGCATGTGGAGCATCTGCGCACCGTTTTGGAAAGGCTACGACAAGCCAAGTTCGAAGCCAACCGCGACAAATGCAAATTCGTGCAACAATAGCTCGAACACGTAGGCCACTATGTGACGCCGCAAGGCATCCGTCCGCTCACGGAAAAGATAGAGGCCATCCGCATATGGCCCGAGCCCACCAACACCACGAACGTTCGCTCATTCATGGGGTTGGCAGGCTACTATCAACGCTTCATCGTCGGGTACGCAAGGATTGCCGCACCATTGATGATATTACAATCGCCAAAGGCGCCATACATATTCGACGATGAAGCACGCCGGTCATTCCAAGCACTCAAGACGGCCATGCTCATGGCACCCGTCCTTAGCATCTACGACCCCACCTAGCAACGCTGGTGACGACTGACGCTTCCGGCTATGGCATTGGGGAGGTCTTGGAACAACACGACGACGACGACTGGCATCCCGTGGAGTTCTTCAGCCACCAGGTGTCTCCCATCAACTCACTTGATGATGCAAGGAACAAGGAGCTGCTCGCGTTCGTGATGGCTCTCAAGCGATGGCGACACTTCCTCCTTGGGTGTCACAGGTTCACATGGGTCACGGATAACAACCCGTTGACCTACTACAAGACGCAAGATACATTGAGCAGCACTATCGGACGGTGGATGTACTTCATCAACCAATTTGACTTCACACCGAAACATCTCGCTGGCCTATCCCATGGCGCAACAGATGCACTCTCGCGAAGACCCGATCTTTGCGCAATGACACATCATGCCTTCGCATTCGATGAGGAACTTCGGCGGCATTTCATTCGGGGCTACCAGTTTGATCCAGATTTCGCCATGCTATATGCGCAGCTATCTTCGGATCACCCGCCGGCCAGCGATTATCGCATCTTCGACGGGTACTTGCTTCGCCACTCGCGAGGCAAGGACTTATTGTGTGTTCGATGAGATTGTCATCTTCGGACTCGCCTTCTCGGCGAGTACCACGACTCGCGACTCGCCGACCATTTCGGAGTCAATCGGACTATCGCACGACTTCGGCAACGATTCTAGTGGCCCGACCTTATTACTGATGTCACTAGGTATTGCGACTCTTGCGAAGTTTGTCGTCGAAGCAAGCCCCACAACTGCAATCCCTACGGCACGTTGCGCCCATTGCCCATCCCACAGGAACCCGGCCTCTCCATTGCTATGGACGTCACCGGTCCATTTCCCCGCGACCGCCTTGGGCACAACGACATCCTCACGGTCGTTGAACGATTGAGTAAATACGCGAGATTTCTCCCTTGCAAGTACTACGCCATGGCTCCCGAACTTGCGCGCCTCTTGCACACCGGCTGGATTTGCAGCCACAGCGAACCGGAAGACATCGTTAGCGACCGTGACCCTTGTTTCATGTCGGCGTTCTGGACTTCTCTCCTGCAGGAATCCGACATCCACAAACGGACGGGCAAACGGAGCAGGCACATCAAACCGCTCAGATGATGCTTCGTACGCTCATCCGTCTAGATTTGAAGGATTGGGTTGACCGCCTCCCCGACATCGAGTTCGCCTACAACACTTTGTTGAATCCGGCGATCGGCACGACTCCATTCGAGTTGCATCACGGTGGCCGGAAAGGCCGTATCTTTGCTGATCTTCTCCTTCCACGAACAACCGACATAAACGTCGCTTGCTCTCCCGCCTCTGTCCGAAAATACAAGGAATTGCTGGCTCAAGCCCGTGCAAACATGCAAAAGGCTCAAGTCCGCATGCAGCAGCAAGCCAATAGGCGCCACGTACCATGTCCTATCTGCGTCGGCAACCGAGTTTGGGTCTCCGCGGAAGAGTTCGCACTCCAGCAGGATGTTTCGTGCAAGCTACTCCCCAAGTGGTTTGGACCATGGATCGTCCGTTCAGCCGCAGGCGACGAGCCCGACGGCCCATCCTTTGCCATCCAGTCTTTCACGCCTCGAAGCTGGCAACATACACGCCAGCAAAGGACGATGACTTCTCAGACCAGCGATCGCAAGACACTCCGACTATGGATGGTCATCAGGAAGTCGACCGCTTCATCACGGATCGCAAGTGCAGCAACAAGCCTCGACAGTACAAAGTTACCTTCAAAGCATGCGATCCTGACGACACTCGATGGCTTTCACGAGCAGATTTGCAAGCATTTTCACCTCTGATCTATGCTCACTACGAACGGCAGAGACTAGCTAAGGAAGCTTCATGACCTGCCCCTCCCACCCGGACTTTGGTCCCTCCCTCCGCCAGGCCGCTTCGCCCTCGCAGGTAAGCTCGGTCTTTCAAGGAGGGGGGGGGTGGCATGCTGCGCATCCACACAGGACTGCAGGGCCCGACCAGACAGAAAATAAGGGCCCTCCAGGCCCTGTGTCGTTTCAGCCTAAAAGCCTGAAAAGGAGGGCCATTTTCAGGCCCTCATAAAGTCGACCTGCCCTGAAACTTAGGCGCCAGACCAGGGTTTAGCGCAGGCCATTTTTGGGCCTGTTTCAAAACAACCTTTGTTTGAACTTCAACACCAGGGTTTGGCACGATTCGGCATGGGCAAGAGCAGCCTCCCAGGCAGGACCAGCACTATATAGTACTGGTCCGCCCTGCAGGCTGCAGGCAGTTCACGGGGAGTTCACAGGCACTTCACGTGCAGTTCAGGAGGTCTTCAGGATTCGACCGCAGCACTCTGCAGGAGCGTGGCAGGAGTAGTAGCTAGCGCTAGGAGTAGTCTTCAGCGCTGGGCGCTATTAGGAGCTTAGGGTAGCGTTGGGAGAGAGAGAGAGGGCGGAGGCCAGGGAGACTTACCTGTGGCGCCATAGCTCCGGCTTCGTCTTCGATGTACCTGCAACAAGKCGCCACCTTCACAGGTCAGTACTTGGCACAAGAGAGAGAGAGAGAGAGAGAGTTCTTCTTCCTCCTCTAAGTCCACCATCTCTCCGTCACCCTCTCGCTACCTAACTTCTCAGCATCTACAGACTACGAGAGAGAGAGAGAGAGAGAGAGAGAGAGAGAGAGAGAGAGAGAGAGAGAGAGAGAGAGAGAGAGAGAGAGAGACTTGCGACTTTGAGATTTGACGACATTTGGATTCAGACTCGACATTGGGATCGAGACATTGGACGAGGGATTATTTGGGGTCTATATCGAAGACTTGGTGTTGACGACATTCCCATCTTCCTCCTCTTCTTTGTCTGATTCCCCTCCTCCTCGTCTGTGTATGGTTGGGACTGGCCCATTCGTCCTGTGTGAGCGCCAGACCCCTTCACACCTTGCGATGATGATGATGTATGTTTGGTCTGCATTGCGACATTGATTGGTCTGATCATTGGTATTTTAGCCTTCCGCTGCGCTATCCTGTACTATGTGAGAGAGGTCGGTTCTTGTTGTGGTCTGTACCATTACGGTATGCAACAGCTTGCCTGGGACTGGCGACTTTGCGCCCAGTAGCTTCACGTCGGGCCAAAGTCTCTGCACCCAGGCCCATTCAGACAATGGACTGGGACCGAATTGGTTAGGTGTGCCCAACCACCCAGGCGGAAATGTGTGGTGTTCCCTGCTTCCCCTGCGTGGCTGGAAGAGCCTAGAAGGCTCACAAATATTTCTGATTCTCACGAGCAGGACGGATGTAACCAACTGGCGCTTGGCAACTGTCTGGCGCCCACCAAAGCTTTGTAAATTTGACGAATTCAGGCCTCATTCAGATTCGGGGCCCGCCTTCACTTAGGGCGGGCACATGCTTGCTGTTACCCTCATGGGCGTGCCGATGACCTAAATCCTCACACAGTGGAGTTCAAACTTAGGTTCACATTTTTAGGTCCACATTTTAACAGTTCAGGTGTGTACCAAGTGAGTTACACCAGTTGGTTCATTTGGCAAATTGCTGATGCTCATGTTTAGTCAACTTTACTGCCTATTCTGAAGTGTTTGATTTTGTCTGTTTCTCATTTCTCTTGGTATGTTTTTTCGTTTTCTTTTCCTCCACACTTTGTATTGAATACAGTGTGTTTATTGGCAATCATCCCGCTGCTCCAACTTCCTATGCAGCTTGCGTTCTGCTCGGACTAGATGAGCTTCTTGAGCCTGGTGCAGACGGGGGTGCCCGCTGGGAACATCTTCAGCCAGTTTCACGAAACAGCGTTAGCAATCAATTGAATGGCTGCGTCAATGTTTCTTCCATCCACTCTGATGTCGCCATGACGAGTGATGAGTCTGCTGACACGAGGTCTGGCTCCTCATGCCTGTCGCTTGAAACTGCATCGGTGTGGAAAGCGGCTGGGTTATCTGTATCGGAAAGAAATGGAAAAGTACCGATGCTCCCAACGGTGAAGAAACTGGCCATCAAGGAGCATCACACAACCATCTTTACAGGGCGTGATGACTGTGACCTGGGGAGAATGGCTGGGAGAACCGGCCTGCAGGCTACGCGGAATAATCTGCTGCAAAACAATGGCAGCCAAGATGCAGATGCGCAGAGGAAAGCTTTGGACATCGCAGAACGCGGCAATGGAATTGCAATGCCAAGAGAACAAGAAGTCGACAAAGGGTCACACATGGTGGGAATGGGAGCCCCAAATGATGACGAATCAGGCATTGATGACCGCTTCTGGCAGGTGGCAAGGTGTTTGGAGCTGGTGATGGCGCAGAAGGTATGCTGGTTAGTCACCGCTGTTCTGTTTTCTTTGTTCCAAGCTCCGGTGCATAATTACGAGTGGGCCTGTACAGACCCGAGTTTGAATCCAGGTGGAACTAGGGGAATGAAAGCAAATAAATCCGAATTCCTTGGCCCAGTCAGTTCAAAGTTGATATCCCAATGCTGTCGTCCTTTGCATGAAAAAGAATAGAACTTAAAAAAGAGAGGGAGGGAAAAAAGAAAAAAAAATGTAGTACACAAGTACACAATTTCCCCATGCTTGCACCGGATTCCTAAAGCTGCGCACATTATTCATGACTGGGTTAGAAACTCGGAATTTGTTGTCTGAATATATCTAGTGAACGGACTGTGTGTTTCAGATTGTCTCCGAAACTTCACTCCAAAGTCAAGACTGTTCGTTATACTTATGCTTCCATTTGTTCTTTCTCTCACCTCTATTTTTGCATCCGATTCTTTTTTTGAAAGAAGCCGTTTGATTCTTTACTGTTCCGAATTTAGCAGTTATCATGAAGAACCGTTTTCCCATTCTTGTGATTGCCAAGCGACCTCTCTCTTCTCTCTCCCAACTGTAGAGTTCAATCTTTCTTGTGCACTACTGGTGGAGGACAGAATTCGCTGATGGTACATAATTGCCTGTGTTCATTGTGCACTCTCTCTCTTATCCAAAGGGCTGGAGTTGGTGCTATCAAGACATAATTTTTCGGCGGCTGATGCCCATTCTTCGGAGAGGTCAAGGAACTAAAGCTCATTGTAGATCAGCACTTCTGATCGGTGTCCTAGGAAGGTATGTCTCTCCAAAATTCCTACCGGTCAAATCAGGCCCAGGTTGATTTTGATATTCTCTCGTGTTTCATTCGACTTTAACTTGCGAGTTGCAATCTTGTTGTTTATTAAATGTAATTAGCATTTGCCTGTGGTTTTGATTGCTCTGACCATAGGTTGCACCCCGCGTACGTATACGGGTGTGGGATGGGTGTAGGGGCCCTGATCGGGCAAACACATGTTCTGGGCAGAGGCCCCCAGCAAGCCGAGTGCCCCCCCTAAGTGAAGGCGGGCCTGAATATTCATCAGAGGCCAAAATTCGACATTTCCTTCAACTAAAATAGGTTGAAAAGCTTGTAGGAGGCGACGACGGGAGCTGCCACGGGCGACGACGGCGACGGCGACGGGCAACTCGTGGCTGCCCTCCCTCCAACTCTGAAAGGCAGGAAAACGGGGAGGACTGCCCTCCCTCCAACTTTCAAAACGGCGGCCTCATCTGGGCCGCCGATCTGCCTCGATCAGCGGTCCAGAGAGGCCGCCGTTTTGGAAGCACATAGGCGGGCCTGTGGTACCGGTTCGATTTTTTTTTGGGCCAGGAGGCCCCCACAACCCGTGTGGGGGCCTCCTGGCCCAAAAAAAAATTGTTTCGGCCTTTTTTCTGTGATGCACTGTAGGCCGCCGGGAGGCAACCGGACCGGTCGACCGGCCGGTCCCACCGGCCTTTTTTTTGTGATGCGCTGTAGGCCGGCGGGAGGCAACCGGACCGGTCGACCGGCCGGTCCCACCGGTCGGTCCCGCCGGGGGTAAGAGGGGGTGATCTGGTGGGTTATCAAGGTCTGATGAGGGTGACGGGATACGTACCTGGTGCATGAAGAGAGGTCGACTATGGTGTTGACATCATGTAAATTGGTCTTCGAGAGGCAAACCGAGCCTGTTGCGTGAACACAGCTGTAGGTAGGGTAGTCGAGTAGAGTAGGCTGGGCGCTGGGCGCCAGACAGAGAGGAGCGACTTTGGATACTGTGCAGTAAGGATACTTTGGCGCTCACTTGATAGAGCGGGGCCCAGGTAGAGGGGCCGGCCGCTGGAAGGCTGCGGCGACAGTGTGGGAGTTGTGGCAACAGCGGATGTATGTATGATAATGAGAGCATGCTGACGTGGCATTTTGGTTGAGGTTGCACTGCATCGCGTTGTGGGCGGTACCGAGGCCATCGAAATTCACGTCGGCCCAATTGGTGAGAAATCTGTGGTTGGGGGCAGCTATCTCCAGGTACGTTGTTCCCATTCCTTTTCTACCCTCTCAATCTCTTCTTACCGTGAGGAAGTGAGTCCAACCTTGAGTGTCCTCTCTTTGGTGAGGAGTCGTGTGCGCTCTATCTTGAGATACGACATTCTTCCCAATGGCGCATCTGGCAGGAGAGGGCGGTGCCTTTGAAGGGCCCTGGCACTTTGAGGCTCTTTGCTACTTTGTCCTTTGAGGCTCTTTGCTGCGCTGATAGAAGGGGTGTGCGGAATGACCAGTCCTAAGCAGACGCTCCCAGACCGTCTATAAACATTTTTGGTTGGGGTCTGAACTGTCCACTGGTTGTGATCGTCATCCTGATTGCGACGTTAAATCATTCCTGAGGAGTCTCGGGGGCTGTCCTTAAATTGCCCCTTGATCAGCCAGATCAGTCAGACAAGGCTCGTTGCACGCGAGGATAAAGAAAGGGCAGGCTCGTCATAAGCATACACCTTGGGCACAGCGGTGGGCCATTAATGAACACCTTAGACACTGCTGCTTGATGATGCTCACAGGCACGTTGGATATGGGGAAGCAGATTTCAATTGAGGACTCAACTGGCAAACACTATTATACCTATTGTGCATACATCTGCTCACATTAGTTTATTTTTACTTTGATTAGTTGGTTGGTCGACTGCTGACACCTAACGGACAACCTAGAGTAGGACTGTAAGATTCTACCATACTCAGTTCTTCTCAGAGGTTTTGTAAGATCACTAATCAGGATAGAAGTAGACTATGTGTATAGTCCATGTAGAATGCTGTTGATACCGCTTGATTGGTAGTCTAGGTAACTCGCTGGACATTATCTCATTTTATTTATTTTTAGAACCGGTCAGACGCATGCTATGGTAGGTCCCAGGGAGGACACTAGTGCAGACAGTGTCTGCCTAGCTGATGAGCAGATCAAAGGGTGGTGAAGGTACAGCAGACGATAGGAGGCAGACACGACGGGACACCGGCAGGATACCCGTAGTGTTCCAGTTTCTACTACCAGGGAACGAAAGAAGACTAAGGGCCAAAGGAAGGTATGTTTTGTGGTTCGGATTCTGGATGTGACTGCCTGCGATCACATACATATATATGGTTGAGAGAAGTCCCACTGTGACTGTGAGAAGTGATCGTCCTATATTAATAACCCTTATTTATATATATACATATATATATATATATTTGACGATATATATATGGCTTGAGTGTTCGCGCGGTCTATTGTGACCAGTTCTATTTGACGATATATATATATATGGCTTGAGTGTTCGCGCGGTCTATTGTGACCATGCACAAGGGTTAAACAGATTATGTTTTCTTTTTAGAGAAAAGGGAGATCCCTTTTTGCCTTTTGCTTCTTAGAGATTTCTATAGTTGGACTTTGTAGTCCGTGGCAGTAGTCAAAGTCAAACCCCTTGACTTCTCTCGAGGCCCTAGATGATGGAGCTGGTCTCCAGGGCAATAAGAGACGACTGCATGAGTATGGGTACTACATAGTACGCCATCATTGCGATTGCTCGCACATTTATGCACTGCTAGTCGATATGAGAAGACCCTGCGCCCGCGCGATTTTATACTAAGTCTCGCGCGGGTCGCCTATCCGATTTCCGTGTCGGAAAGTTATAAGATGGCTACTGAAGGGACTAGGAGTGTTGTCGCGTTGTTTGATGTGTGTGTGTGTGTTTATTTTTGTGTTCGTAGTGTGGTGTGCGCGTGGTGAGTGGGATACGTCCTAGTCGACCGTCGTCGAGTCGCGCTTGGGATCTCAGCCTCCCCAGTGCGTCGGTTCATGTGCGGGCCCGATAGAGGCGTGGGACCGCGTGTACCCCTATGCTACAGCGAACGAGAAAACGCTCTCGGCTGGTACACCTCTGCGATTGCAACTGATCAACTTTCGTATTGTGGACTGGTAGCTCAGAGGGGATACGCCCACCGAAGGGAGGTGACAACTCCCGTAAGGTGGAGGTAAGTCGTGCCTCGCGTAGGCCCTATGCAGTCGTAGGGGCTCGCGAGAGGTATGGCTGGCGCTCTCGGCCGGAGCAGCTTGCGGAAGCTCCATGTGTATATTCGCAACGAGGAATTAGACCAACTCCTGCGCGACGCGGCCGGGAGGGTCCCGCGCTACCTTGTGTGGTGCCGGACTGATGCGCTCGACAGCGCAGAGTGGTGTGGGGGAATGCAGCGGGAGGGAGGTCAAGATTGTGCAGGATTGGGGGGGAATCGTGGCAGGGGGCGGGGGGGTGGGAAAGT